TGGCACATCAGGTTCACTTTGCATCTCGTATTTCCTGTTGTTGAAATCTGTGACCCTAACTTCAAAGACAAACAATCCATCCACTGATCTCCTCTCGTTTTTAGAATGATCATTTTTTTCTTCTTCTTATGCAGGCGCTACATGCTAATGCACTTCCAGTTCTTGATATGTGCAAACAATGGCTGGCTCAGTACATGTAGTTATCGTGCCCAAGAATATAATATCTGGATTCAAGCCGTCCGTGTGTTGTACAACGTTAGTTTCTTGATGTAAAGCTTTTTTTTAATTAGGTGATAACAAACAAGATTTGTTAATGGCTCTTGAATGCTTGATGATGAGGCATCGAGTTTTGCTCGCACAAGGGTATAAACACACCATATATCACTTCTAGTCACGTAAAATTTTATTATCTACCCCTTATGATACCGGTGATTAGTGAGTGGTTAAGGGGTTGTGTGTTTAGTTGTAAGCTGGTGTTGGTTTATAAATACCTCATTTCTCTGTACTTCTGAGATCAATGAATGAATAACAAATATCTTTCCCTCAAACCTATCTCTCGTGTATCTCCTTTCTTCAATTCTTATTCAGCTTGTGACTTGATTCGAAGCTCTCTTCTCAGTTTCTGAGTAGCTTCATCTCAACCATAACATCTTATATAGTACTACCTCCATCCCAATTTATAGGGCCTGTTTCGGTTTACGATGTTTGACTGAAATTATTTTCAAATCATTTTATATGACAAATGGTATAGAGTCAAAAAATAAAAGTTACATATTAAAATACTACATCAAAAGATCTACAAAACTAATAGTGACAATAGTACTTTATTTTATCAAATTGCTAACGAAAATAGAGAAAGAAAGTGAATGAAGTTTGACCATGTGAATAGTGAACATGCATTATAATTTGGGATGGAGGGAATAATTGATTTATAAGATAGGGTACCTTTAGCATTAAAAAATGTACAGTGTATTTAGGTTACTATGGAGTAATTAAGAACACCAAACATCTCTCGTATAAAATAGTCTACGCTCTATTTCTAGAATTTTAGATAATAGAGAAAAAACAACATATGGATTCTCAAAAGATATGTTCAATGTAAACTGCCAAATTTTAAACTTTCAAACACACCAATTATGATTCATTTATTCCTTTGAAAGAGACGAGGAAACTTTAAAAGAGATAAGGAAACGCCTAAAAAAATAAAAATATCAGAACTTTGGCAGTAACTTTGTGTCATGAGGTTGAGAAATACTCTCTCCGTCCACAAATAAACTTTCTACTTTTATTTTTCGTCCGTCCACAAATTATCTACTCATTAGTTTTTTTGGCAACTTTTTTTATATCAAATGACTTTATTACCCTCCCCTATTTTACTTCTTCATTCTCTGCTGCGCCACCACCCCGTCCTTATCTTCTCCATCTTTCTTCTTCTCTCCACCAATCTAGATCTGGCAATCGGGTCAATCGGTTCGGTTCCAGTTCGGGTCTTTTCGGTTCGGGTCTCATTCGGATATATGTTATAATCGGTTTGGATCGATTCGGTTCGGATCAGTTCGGTTCCGGGTTAATTTCGGTTTGACTGGTTTTCGGTTTTGGTTCGGGTTTGTATCGGTTCGGGTTTGTATCGGATCGGGTTTATATCAGTTCGGGTTTGTATCGGTTCGAGTTTTCGGGTTTGTATCGATTTAGGTTTATATTAGTTTAAATACTCCGTATATATTAAATATTTACTAATAAATCAATAATATCACATACTAAATTTAATCAATTTATGATATACTCCGTAGTTATTTTATTATTTAACACGGACGTACATAAAATTTAATCAATTTCGGGTCTAATCGGTTCCGGGTTTAATCGGGTTCGAGTTTTATCGGTTCAGGTTTAATCGGTTCGGGTTTAATCGGATTCGGATCTGAATCGGGTCTGAATACATTCGGTTCGGGTTTGGTTCGAGTTCGGTTCGGATCATTTCGGGTGTTCAGGTCTATTTCGGTTCTTCAGTTTTCGGGTCAAATCGAGTTTGGTTCCAGGTTATTCGGTTTGGGTTATCGGGTCCGGGTCTAACCAATCCATCCCCATCTGCTTCTTTCTTTCTCTCTCTTTCTCTTCTTCTTCTTCTTTTTTCTTTTCTTCTTCCTCTCCTTTCTTTTCTTCTCTCATGATTTTGTCTAGCCACCACTCTATCGTCATCAAATTCTTCTTTTTCCTTCTTCTTCATCTTCTTTTATCTTTTCTTCTTCTCAGATCTCCCCTTCTGATTTTGGCCAGCCACCCATTGATTGGGAGTGAGGCGGCGATCGAAAGTAATGGTGCAGCAGCAAGGCGGCGGCCAGATCCGATCCTCTTCCGACATTGCTAACATTGATTGTACAGATCTGGCAATCGGATCAATCAGTTCGATTCCGGTTATGTAATACTCCCTCCGTCCCAAAAATTCTTTCCTGTTTACTATTACGGCCTCTCGATAACTCTTATTTGTTTACGTGTTTTCATTGATCATTTGATAAAATAAAATATTCTTGTGACCTCTTATTTTATAGAGTTTTCAATGTAGTTTTTAAATATAATTTTTTTATGTGTTATTTCCTTACCAATTTGCAATTAAAATCATTTTAAAATCCACGGGATTTTGCACGTTAATCAAAGTAGGAAATTTTTTTTGGGACGGAGGGAGTACTAATTACATAAACAATAAAAGTAATGATAAATCGGCGGGTCAATCGGCAGGTCAATCGGTTCGGTTCCGGTTATGTAATACTAATTACATAAAGAATAAAAGTAATGATAAATTCAGGCAATCGGGTCAATCAGTGGTCTTTTATCTTTTCTTCTTCTCATTTATTCTTTATGAGTATTTATTAGTATTCTGATATTATATGAATTGGAAAAAAAATTATTTTTTAACTTTGGACTCGTTATCTTTTATTCTTTATGTTTATGATCCGTTTAAATTTGAAATCAATACTTTTATTTAACATTCTTGTGCTTTTTTATACAAATTTATACATTAAATTCAATAATGTAACGCACGGAATCCTTCTATAATGTCTTATCATTTTCAGAATATCCTGTCATATTGGCTTTGAAATTTTTTCACAACTGTGAGATATTTCTCAACCCTACATTTTTTGTGGACTATTTTATTACTAGCTGAAAAATGTCCATGACGTAAGAAATAAACTAATTGTATGTTTGGTAACATGGATTTGGAATTCAAATCCGAATTTTACTCAAACTCTATATTTGGAAAACTTAAAAATTTTGAATTTAGTCAAATTCTTCTCATTCATAACAATGTTTAATTTGAAATCCATGCATCTTTCCTTGTCATTTGAAATTCAAGATTTCAAATTTTAGAATTGAAATGCATGAATTGAAATGAAATTCTACTTGCCAAACACTACCTAACAAGAATTGTTATCAAGGGTATTCACTTTAGGAGTGTCAATTAACAAAACACATGCATCGGCGGACGTATGTAATTTGCCTTAAATGTCATCATAATGTCCATCCAACCTGGCAATCGGGTCAATCGGTTCGATTCCGGTTCGGGTCTTTTCGATTCGGGTCTCTTTCGGATATATGTTATAATCAGTTCGGGTCGGTTCGATTCGGGTCAGTTCGGTTCCGAGTTTATTTCGGTTTGACTGGTTTTCGATTCGGTTTCGGTTCCGGTTCAGGTTTGTATCGGTTCGGGTTTATATCGGATCGGGTTTATATCGGTTCGGGTTTGTATCGGTTCGGGTTTATATCGATTCGGGTTTGTATCAGTTTAGGTTTATATTATTTCATTTAAATATGTTTTTTTAGAAACACATCAACATATGTAAAAATATATCAGCAATTCTTTTTCTCCAAGTTCATTTGATAAATGAAATATTAATAAATTTGATCCATTTCGGGTCTAATCAATTTCGGATCTAATCGGTTCTGGGTTTAATCGGTTTCGAGTTTAATCGGTTCGGGTTTAATCGGTTTGGTTAAGCCGGGTTCGGATCTGAATCGGGTCTGAATACATTATATTTGGTTTCGATTCGATTCAGATCATTTCGGGTGTTCGGTTCTATTTCGGTTATTCAGTTTTCGAGTCGATTCGGGTTCGGTTTTGGGTTATTCGGTTCGGGTTATCACATCCGGTTCAATTTTGCCAGGCCTACATACATGTACACATAATGTCTTAATGAAAAGCTTGCAAGGATAACCAATAAATGCCACAAGTCATTTTAGGATAGAACTCGCTTACCATATTGTCTAGACACGCAGAAAGTATTAATCTAAAGCCGTCAAGCGAGAAATACATGCATCAGGTCAATATAACAAACTATAAACTCGCATTTCATATTGTCTATACACCAATGCTTAAGTATGCACTCGTGCACACTTATAACGTTTTCAAAGGTAAAAAAATAATTCCAAGATTACTCATTAACATATTATACCAATATATGCATTGTTCAAAATGACAACTTGTGTCAAAAGCCCAAACTTGTAATGGAAACAAGAACCCTGAAATGTGAATCTGCATATCTCCGATGTCCAAGAATTGTCCAAAAGCCAATTCTTTTTGGAAGAACGCAGATTCTACGATAAACCTGTCACAACCACACACATTAGAGTTAGTCATTTACAAAAAAAAAACATCAATTTTTATTCTTTTTGGATACTACTTCCCAGTTGTCATTATCCTTGCAAATGGCCAAATCACAATTAGTCACATTTAGTCGTTATCTTTGCAAATGGCCAAACCCCTACTAAGCTATAATAAAAAACCATTTGCATTCATCATAAATGTCTATAAACAAACACTTGAACTTGTATTTAATAAAATGTCCTTTCGTTCATTTTAGAAACAATAAGGCATTCTCAACAGTCATTTGGAGTCACTTTATTCTACATTTATGCTAATGACCATCTTCATACAGTCATTGTATATAATCATGAAACAACATACTTGTACTCATGTCTATATATACTGCCTTTTACCAAGATCTAAACATACTCTCATTCACAAAAACACCTAATCACTAACCACGTGTAATCAACCGAATGTCTGTAAACATACACCTCATATAATATTAATAAAATTACCTATTAATCTCCTAGTATTCATATGCAGTCTAGTATCAATCATCATAATGTCTATAAACCAACACCTTACAGAAACATGTCATAAAATGACCATTTACAGTCAATTTGAATGTTGAAAATGACGATTCGTTGTTATAAAGACAACTAATATTAATATCATCTTATACAGTCACCGGAATCATAAGTCATAAATCTCCATTGAACAATCAATATTAAAAATCGTAAGTCATTACTAGTACTAACAAACAAATATCAGACGACGCCATTATTGACAAAGACCACAAAATGAAACCATTCTCATAATTCATATCTTTATTATTGTTATTTTTTATACACTTAGAATTCATTTCCACACCCTGACAATAGGATTTAAAAGAAAAGAAGTCTAGCGCAGGACAAGCTGGAGGAAATTTTAAAAGATAAATCTGAATAGGTGCCTAGTTAGACAAACAGCAAAGCAGAAATTTACCAGAACATCACCCTCCAGTTTTGGGAAGCACTAAGCACCTTCGGGTGAAGCAAAGACCAAAACTGAGCCACTCCAGTTTTGGGAAGCACACACCCCCTTTACTCTGGTTTCGAGAAATCAAATCAAACGAATAAATACATGTAAATACTAAGTCCTGGAGTTAACCTTCACCAGTACATTGGTGTTGACATTTGGCGGCCGTTTCACAAAGACATTGTCGCCTTCTTCATCTCTGTGTGCCATAAAAATCAGTTCCTTCCCGCTGTCTTCAAATTTTAAGAACTATTTACGGAAATTTGGTCTTTTTGTGAGTCATAAATGCTAATTTGGACCCTAATTTAATATACCTAATGACTTTTGGTCTCTTGAAGAACTCTTGATAGACATGGCAATGAAAGATCCCTGGAAAATCAGCTGGGATTGTCAATCCCGGAAAACTAGGGACTTCATTTTTTTTCTTTTCTCTATTCAAGATGGCACCGGTACGTAAAGGGCATTTTTTTCCATTCGCATGGCCAAACGTTTGAGTCAATAGGACCGGTCCTATTTTGGGAAACGTCATATGTTTTGGTCATATTTGAGTAATTTTCTCATGAATAAAACAGATTCAGTCATAAACTGAATCAGAATCTTTTTTCTGGGACCAAAGGAGTAATAAAGACGGAGTATTTCATAACATAATGAGACAAAGATCATGGAACGTACAAAAACAGTAAAGAAGGAAAAGGAAGTGGGATGGAGGTAGTAATAACCATATGAATCATACGATACAAACCAATTCACTGTTCATCAGTATTCACCATTTGACAACTTTGCCCAATCTTTCTTCCTTCAACAATTTGGGAGAATTCATTGTGTTCCTCCCTAATATATTTTATGTGTAAAAGCTCTAAAGGGATGTGAACCAATAAACTGAGAGACCACGAAAGTGAGAGCTAACATATAATGCTAGCAACATGAAACCGGTATCTATCAATCAGAGTAACAAGCATTAAAAAAAGAGTTGCAAAGCGTACAGCATCAGTTGATCTCTTCATTATTCAGCATGTTTAGAGCGGCATAAGCGGCTTTTTGAAATTGTGCCTTCTGTTCTTCTAAGCTTATCTTCCTCTCAAGAGCAGTGCTTTTGCACTTTTCTATATCTTCCACTATTTCAGTGGAGTTCTGGTCAATTTCCCTGTAGGAGGTCCACAAAAAACACAAGTCATAAGCCTTAAAAAAAACATTACTTGCTATGGGCCTATGGCTAATACTGCACATCACATGTGCTAAAAAGTAAAAGTAATTTCCAGTTAAGGAATAAGAAAAACACAATGAAGACTAGAAAAAAATTCAATTACAAAATGAAAGCAGCCATGACCGCGCAGTTATTATTAATTCACACTATTTTGCTGAATGCGCCTACAACAACAACCCAATTGGGTCCTGCAAAAGTAGGGTCTGGGGAGAATGTGTACGCAGACCTTGCCCCTTCTCGTAAGTAGTACACACACAATACAACAGCACACAAGACATTCAGAATGTGCTTAGTAACATATAGAAACAACATTGAGAGTGGAGGGAGCTCACTTTATCAACTTTACCATGTTCTCCAGTACACCGTGCACATGTTGCGAGAGATCTGCAGGTTCATAACATTCACAATATGAAAAGGGTTGTGGAACCATGCCATAGTCAGGTAAAGTGTCAAAGGCAAGATGTTTCCAAAACAAATATACTCAGTATATCTCACTCAGGATTAGTGTCTGAGATGGTGAAATGTGCACAGATATAAATTGCATCTAGCCATAGAGTAGAGGTTGTTTGACGAATGAAAAAAACTCCCTCGGTTTCGGAAACTTGCTTGCCTCATATCACATCAATGGCACAGGGTGATTAAGTCTGCAAATATTTGCTAAAATAGTCTTCAAATATATATATGTGTGTGTGTAAAATATTCACTAAAATAGCCTTCAAAACCTTTTACTTGCACAAAAAAAGAAGATGGTATACACATACTGGAATTGTGAGAAATCAAAGCAGTCCAGTTTCTACACATCTAAAATTGATATTATGCTGCATAATGAGAAGTGGTTTAATTTGAGAATAGGCATTATTAGCATAGGAAGTTAACTCTCTACAACAGGAATTCCCAAGTTGACACCCCCAGTCTCACACGTATGATAGTGCGAACCGAAACGATCAAAGCACTATCAGTTGATTAGCACAACAAATTTATGAAAGCTTGAAACAACTCAGAATTCCACACTGCGGTAGCACCAAAAGTCCTAGAACCTAACAGATGCTATCAAAAACATCGAGAGAAAATAAAATTCAAGTCCAATAATCTATTGTCGAAGAACATTCCAGTAATCTGCAAAGCGATTAGGATTTAGACTTTTCAATTGAGATAAATTTCAACCGAAACGCTAAACGGTGTATTCTGACTAGCTTATAAGCAAACCGATAGATACGTAAAATGAAGGTGGGGGATAGAGAAGGAGAAGGAGAGAGAGAGTACCGGAGACGATAGAGGTGAGCTGAGAATCGATCTCAGATGGTGGAGCCATTAGAGCGTCCGGGGGATTTTGGGAGTGCGACACCAATGGAACTCTGGAAGCATTCATTGAGCAGAGCAACGAGAGTCGTTCTTGGCCTAAAAATGGTTCTATGGGGATTCGAAATAAGAGCTGTTATTAGACCTGGGTCAGGTCGGGTTCGAGTTCGGTATAATCGGATTCGGGTTATTTCGGATTCGGGTCACTTTGGGTTCGGGTCTAAGAGTGCTTGTTCATGACCCAGAGTTATCGGGTTTGGGTTGACCCAACGGGTTAAGAGGCGTATTTAAAAATTAAAAGTTTTGCTATTTAGAGATCATGTGTTCCGAGCATTATTCAAAACAAAGAACGAAATCATAAAAGTTTGTAGTTCTATTTGCAACATACCAAAAGAGAATTGCAATATACCCAAAAAAAAATCACCTTTTTGCAGCATGCCAAAAAAACTGCACTAGATGAAAAAAATTGAAGATTCTTTCAACATACCCAAAAATATATATACGTTATTAAAAAATTGAAATTCTTGCATCATACCAAAACAAAAGAAAAGAATTAAAACTTGAGTTACACGTAGGAGCAACTGAAGAGGATGAAATAGGATTAAAAATTCCACTATTGTTCTGGTGTCTTCTCACCATTTTGACTGAGTTGACATCTAATATCAACGAACAGTGGAAGAGTGGGAGAACTATATATATATATATATATTACGCCTTTTGAGTTTTGAGTAGCCTAATGGGTATATCATATTTTAAATTATATATATAAAACTAAATAACTAATAAAAATAAACAATTAAGTGCATAAGCCGTCGGGTCAAACCCGACCCGACCCGTTTTGACCCGAAAATTTAACGGGTCTTCGGGTTCGGGTCGCAAAATCAATGTTCAAAACCCGCAAATTTCGGGTCGGGTTTCGGATTAGTAACGGGTCGGGTCAAATTTTGCCAGGTCTAGCTGTTATGATGACTTTATTAAGATTTGATTTCATTAAGAGCAGGCAATGGCAAGTAATGAGTGAAATGCCACACGCTGACGTGGAATAGTTTAACCAATAAAAAATAAGCTAGTCAGCGTGTGGCAAATGAGTGGAGTGTCAAACTTTACAATTGCAAGTCATAGTTTTTATTATCTTTTTATATTTTTTGGAATATTTTAATTATTAAAAATTATTATATTTATTTTATATATCATAAAAATATTACTACTTACTCAAAAAATTAACAATTTTTTTTTCTTAAAAAAAGAAAAGAAAAAAAATTAAAAAAAAATAAAATGGGGCCAAGAATGCCACGCTTGTGACTTGCAAAGAGAGGTGCCATGCTCCTTCCACGCATGGAATAATGTGTTTTATGATGATGTGGCAGTGAGGCATGAGGCACTCCACGCCATTGCCCATGCTCTAATAAGAGCAATGGATATCCGGGTAACACCCGGGCGTCACCGGCCTTTTGATGTCCGGACGGCGTCAAACACAGCCCCGAGGGCGTTATTCTGGCATTACAAACCCTGCGTCAAACTTTTGACGCCCCCCTCCCCCCATTCTTTATAAATTCAATGCATTAACGCTGGATTTGGTCGAGTTCAAATATCAGTAATTTGTTCATAGTGTAAATATTTATGGATGTCATTTGTTTATATTTAATGAATGTAATTTTTTATTTAATGAGTCTAATTTTTTTATTTAATGTAATTTTTTAATGAACTCTCCTTTCAACTCTTTTAAATAATTGAATTTTATTGATTAATTTTATAAGATATGTATTTAAAATGTAAAAAATAAAGATTTGAAGTCCGGGGACTTCAAACTCATTTTCATTGCATACATGTAGATTAGTTTAGATTAGTCAATGCATTAATCATATGTTCATCAATATAGATTAGTTTAGATTAGTCAATGCAGTAATAATATGTTCATCAATATACATGTTGGAGCTTGATAAAAATGTCATGGATTGATAAATAGATTGATCAGTTGAGGATACCAATTGATGTTCGACCTTCGAACTTGGTTACTGATGGGTAAATCGAAAATGATTATCTAAGTTTAAAGAGATTAAAATTATATAAGATCATCTTTTGGTGGGCATATTATAAAACTCATGTGTGATATACTTGCACTTGATGAGCGTGTTATTAAAGAATTTTTAAATACGGTGCAAAGAGACCATTGGTATAACATTTTTAAAAGCTCGGGGGTATGGGTGCAACTTTTAAAATTTAGAGATAATTTGTGTAATTTTTGAAAAGTTCAGAGGGGTAAATGGCGCAAAAACTCATTATGTTGTTGTGTCTTTTGCCTTCGACCAGTCATAGCCCAACCAGTCTTGGTATTCTAGCTCGGTATGGATTATACCCATCGCCCTCTCTATCAAAAATCTCTTTCTCATTTCAACTTTTATGGAATTAAGGTGAGTGACATTTTTTTTACTTTCATAAATGATCTTAGATGAGATGAGTAAAACAAGATCCAAATGCTAAAGAGGCACCATGTGTGCCTCCAAGCATGCCACCCAATATATTTAAATTTTAATTTTTTTTTCAATTTTCCTTTTTTGGGTGGCTTTTCGTCTCCCGCCCCCAAAATTCCCAAATCTCCCTTCTCCCGCTTCAACCTCCACAACCTCACCGTCCTTCTTCTCCGTTCTTCTTCTCCGGCATTTGCGACGAATCCACAACCTATCCTAGAGCATAATCGCAAACGTCAAATCCAGCTAAAGCTCCTACTCCTGGAGGATTGATTCCGCATCCGGTGTTGTCGGATCATCTGCAAAGTAAGAATACTTTTCTTAATTATTTTCATTAGATTTATTACATGTGATAATTTGGGGAAAGAGATGAAAGTTTTTTTTTGAGCAGTGAAACCCTAGGATTACACATTGGGGGATGCAGTGTCTAAATTAGGACTTGTATGTGGTAAATGGTTCGTAAATATAAACTCCGTTCATAAAAGATCTCTGAAACTTGACTGATCATGGATAGAATTTAGAGGCTGCAAATGTTAAAAAATCTCTGAAGCTGCATAAAAGAGACGGCAGTGGAGGGAGAATTGTAAGGTTGAAGATCTCTAGATCTGCATAAAAATGTTAAAAGTTAAATGTTAAACTGCAAAAAATGTTAAATTTTTACAGGCTGCATAAAAGATCTCTAAAACTTCTCACCAGTTAATATGATAGAGAAGTAGTTCCAACTTTTATTTTTGCTTACTGTGTGAATTGTATGGCAAAGATGGTTAAGTTCTGTTATTTGAACTTCATATAACATTATTGTCTGTGAAAGAGGTCTGCTTGTTATTTTTGCTTGCTTTCTGTGAATTGTATCTCATAGACGATTAACTTCTATTTATTGAACTTCATATATGATTAGTGTCTGTGTAGATATTTAACTTCTGTTAATGCAACTTCATTTTACGTTCAAGACGTAGTAAGAAGAATACCCCCCCTACTTCGCACGGTTAATGGTGTGGGTCCAAACAGTTTGGAGAAGAAATGGGAAACAATTGTTGTCATTGGTATTCCGCAACAGGACTCTAGATCTGTTTGCCTTTATTTCGTTTTGGTACTCCCATGGACTCGTGAAAATCATACACCCCTACTTATTTTAATATTATTTTCCCTTGCAGGTATGGCAATTGTGGAGTGATGGTGCTAGCATTTCTAGAGTATTTGTTGGTGGGCTTACCATTAAGCCCGGACTGCAGTTCTGAACACATTGCTGATTTCCGATGTCAACTTGCAGCTAGGTTATGGCGTGGAAGGAAAAGAACCAATATTTAGCTTTTTTACTTTACAATTTTAGGGGTATTTAATTTTTGTGAAACTCTTTGTAATGGTTTTTGTGCTTTGTAATGTATTTTTTGGGGAAACACTTTAGATTTTTTTGAAAGCTTTGTAATGGGGCTTTTATAATCATGAATTTCTACTTGTTAATGCACAATTTGTTAATGTATGTGATGACTGATTTACATTAGTTTATGACTAATTTACAGATTTACTTTCTGTAACGCCCCGAAACCTGGCCCAAAAAAATTAATTAAATTGTTAGAGCAATTGATTACGAATTGGGCCCAATAAGGGGTTAAAATTATAATTTGGATTTTAAGCCCAACTTTTATGTCATCTCGTAGGAAATATTTTTGTGATCGCGTCGGTTCAGACGGCTCGCGAATCGGAGTTATGGAACTCAAGTTATGACCATTTAATCAGGTATTTTGGGTCCGAAGCCCAATCCTTTTTTGGAATGGGACCATTAAATAAACCTAAACCACACAAACCTTATCTTATCTTCTCCTTCTTCGATTCTACTCTCCGTCCGTTCCTTTTTCTTCTTCTTCTTTTTCTTCTTCTTCTTTTTCTTCTCCTTCTTCTTCTTTCTTCTTCGCCGTCCAGCCAGTCGTTCGCC